GCGCGCGCAGATCCTCAGACGTGGCAACATCGCGAACGACCACGTCGTCACGGTCACCTGACTTTTCGTGGAAACGCGACGCTGTCGTGCGCGCGGATAAGGTATGCGACGAATGCTGGTAGAGTACATTGCCTATATTTTGTTCTCGAGTCCCGATAAAACGATCAATCCGAGAATACGAAGGATCGATGGAAGAAGCAAACGAGGTAACCTATAAGGTCTATCTTTTGGTTGACGAGCAGCACGGGAAAAGTACAAAGTCTCGCTGGCGTAATGGTGTACGCCGCGCTGTAAGGTGATTCTTGGAGAGTTGGAACACGTACGGTGACCGGAATAGTCGAGATACGCCGTATATATCACGTGGCCTGGTAAAACAAGTGCGTGGCAGAAACGTTTCGACGAGTGGCCCCGTCGTGAATATGGATTACGATCGAAATGCGTCAATGTGCCAGCGAACAATAATACGATAACCGGCCTCCGCCAATCGATTATCGGTTGGTTTATTTCCATGAACGCGATATTTCGTGACACGCGTAGCTGTAGCTCGTGACGACCGATATCGGTATATACAGTGACTCAAAGTATTCAAACACTCCTAGAAACTTTTCATGTGCATATTATGGGAAACATTTTGAAATTCCATTAGCACTGTAGCGCGAAACGCTATCATGATTATATTGGTAAAATTGGAAACGGATCTGAAGAAGTATATAGAAATTACACTTTGCAAAGATCATTAAAGTATTTGCGCCATCAACTATTCATTATATTACTAAGCCAAAATATGTAGTGAACCCATCTTTAGTATTAATTGCATGTTTAAGACTACGATTCATGTTGTACTAATTCTTCACTAACTGTGTGCTTGCAATAAATATCTTGCAAATCTTGTGTGCATTTTCGGATTAGTTTCAAATTTCGCTATTATAATCATAATAGTCGTATATCATTATAGAGCTAACGAAGTTTCAAAAAGTTTCGTATAATGCGCATAATATATTCATAAATAAACTCAGTGGTAGGTATTCGATATTATTTATTATATCGTAGCGTGGAGAAACATGAATACGATCAGCTATTTAAAAAAAACAAACGGCTTTATCGGTATTATATCGAAATATTAATTAGATTATGGGTCGTGAGCGTGGATAAATTGCTCTCCTTGTTGATAACGAAAATTGTTCGAACGAGTTTGTTGTACTGTTTCATCTTTGAATATATATATGCATGTATGATACATACAGGAACATGAGTTCGTTTTAAGAATTCCACTAATTTATGAAACTCATTATTAAACGAACAATTCGAACGCGGAGATAAATTTCATCGCGCTATTCCATTGTCTTTTGTGCGTTTAACGCGTGTTCGGTTATTTCGATTTCGTCCGAATCCATTCAAAACGCGAGCGAATATATCTTCGAAACTGCTGTTGGAAACGACGGAATATTTTATTGAATTATTAAAGACGTTCGATTTGTCCCACTTCGTGGAAAACGTTGTTAAAGTCGTTTTATGTCAGAAAATGAATGCACGAACAATTCAGGAAATTAAGTTTCTTATCGATTATAGACTTGTCGTGTTCGCAAGTTTCGTTCGTAATTTTCTGAAATTTGTATTTATTATCAAGATAATTCTCATAAAAGATTGCTCGTCTAGTTTTTATTAAAAACCTTTCTTTTTTGGTAAATTATTCGATTTAATTAAAATCTAACTATTAGCGTACACGGAAAATATTTGAAAAAAGACAGGTTAGACGAAAATCCGACCAAGTCTACTTTTCCTTCATCAACTTTCCAACTTAGTAGTAGTACTTAAGTCGAAACAAAAAGTAAACATTATGAAACACAACGTGACGTCAACCTTGACCGCAACATTGCAAGAGGTTAAGATACACGCGACAATGTTCGCGTGGAATGACGTGTCTTTTTATTATCGCGTACACTTTTCAAATAAATCTATAACTAGCGGAAAAGAAGCCTGAATGGAGTGAATACGCCTAAGATGAAAATCTCATAGTTTATTATTCTGTATATTATGTTTTAATGCATTGTGCAATATATCATATGAAAGAGTACATAACATGTAAAGTGATTGTATATATTGATAAATGGAGACGACACAACGCATAAATCCAACAATAGTACCAAGCCGTAAAATGAAGGGATGCGGCGCGAGATTAGAACGGACAGAGAATCGTAATGAATACACGCAGACTGTACGTGAATTTTGTTAGAAATAAGAGATAATGGAACAGCCGTTCGTCCGTAACGACATTTCAATGTCGTTTTACCTGCTTCCTGTGACGTGCGATTTAATTAATTCTCGCGACGTGACTCATCGCAAAAACCAACATTTATACGTTTCATTTTAGCAACCAAATTATTCGACTGCTTCAGCTTGCAAACTTTTTACAATTCTCATGAAAATGTTTATATCTTGTAACTCAAGAGACTAACGTAACATCGTAGCATACAAACTGATTTGGGTATCCAAATTTTGATGCATTTCCAAGTTTGAGACTTATTCCATGAAGAAAATACGAAGATAAAGACTATTCATCGTCAAATATCAATTAAATTCAGGCTACAACGTGTTACCTACTCTCACATAATGCAACTCGTATTATTTATATCACAACTATCGATCGTTAGTCTTTCGTAATTGAAATTTGGTTTACTTTTGAGAAAAAATATTATATTTAATTACACTTTCTCACTATGATTTCAAAGCTACGAACTTGGGAAACTTATGAATATATATTGGATATAGAGCAATATGATAATTACCCGTGCGAGGGAAACCTGTGCTGAAGATGCTGTGGTTCGTAGTATTGTGTGGTAAGGGCTCGTTCGTCCAAGGTATGTTCAGTCGCGTGGGCCTTCGCTGCGGACTTGATATCCATGAACGCCACCGTCGCGGAGGCACCCCCGGTGTTGCCTGAGGTACCGTTGCCCGCGCCACTACCACCGCTCCCAGAACTGGAACCGGAACCACCCTCGTTACCTTCTCCGAGGGAACCACCGGAACCTCCATCCACAGGGCACTCTTCGCCCCGCGGCAGGAGCTTGACGCTCTGCACGCGTCCATACCTGTAAACATTCCAGATAACGATAAGATAATTCCAGATAATATTTATTTAGATATTTATTGGCAACCATTTTAATTGTGAAATATCAAGAAAAGCATGTATGTACCACGCACCAACAATTCGGACAAGCTACATCATGTATGTACATGGAAGGGGTCTATGCTAATATGTTTCATATTATAAAATATAAATTTCTTTAACTAGGCCTTTTTATTAAAGTACTTTGATCTGTTAATATTATCAAGAAGAACATATACTTGAAACCCGATAAATATAACGTAGTACGTGAAAACTCATAAAAGAAATAAACCAAGGAGGAAGGGATAGTAAGCCTTCCAAGTCTAAAGTGCACCGATGTGATCTTTGTTCAGGTGTACACAGTAGGCGATAAAAAAGATAATAAAAAATAACAATTTCATAAAATAACATTTTTCTTTAATATAAGAATGTTACAAGTATAGGTAATGTTTGTGTACTGTATAACGATAGCAAGTACCGAAGAAAAGTTGATAAAGTGAACTATGAATATAGAACGAAATAAAAGTAGTCTGAGGTTTAATATTCAATCTACAATTCGTCAAGGATACAAGTTTTATAAACGTTACAGCTTTTATAATATGATAATGCAAAATATAGTACGGTAATTCCGTCAACAACGCAAAATGAACTCATTAGGATCGTTTAGGATTTCAAAGAGGAAGAGATAAGAGATAATACTTCATCCCTGGAAACTTTTTTCTTTTCTCCTCGAACTGACGCGAGCAAAAATGAAATTGAAAAGAGATAGATATATGCTGATATTGACTGATATTAATTGCAAAATGAAATAAAATTTTGATCCAATTCTTGTCTCGCTGTACTTAGGTCGCTATAGGTAAAAAATTTTTGCGGATACTTCTCATCGAATATTTCAAGTTCAGCAAATGAATCTACAAGGCGATATACATATAGGCGAACCAAAGAAAAAGTGAAAATATCACGAAATCAAGTTCAATTTCGAACTAACGTAAATTTCCTACGATAACTGAAATTTTCGATATTCACGCTTCAGAATTTGACATAATCTATTTCATAGTGCCGGCAACTGCGCAGCAGTTTCGTGGGTAAATTACTTTTTTCAACGGATTCAGCGGATAAGTATATTCATTTCGCAGAATGGCTACGGTATAACTCTTTTATTTTGCTCGATTGCAATTTCGAGTCGGTAGACTTAAAGACACTGCGTTTTGTTTTCACCTTATAAAGAACGGAGATATTGAATTTCGGCGAAATTAAAGAAAACAAACAGCTAAAGTTGTTTCTGGCACACCCTGTGTACAGAAAAGCTCGAGAGTAGCAGAAACGGACTTACTAGGTGAGGTAGGGCTACTGAATTGGAGTGGGGAGTCGAGCGTCTTGATAGGCCGATTGGGAGAAGAATATTACGCGCAAGCGCAAAGCTTCAACGGTTTCGGAGTATCTCGGGGAGTTGTTCGTCTAATCTCGCGTGAGTCGCACGTATTTCCTTGTGCGTTATTTCGAAGGAAGCTTTTGTTTTTTTTCTTGGACCATAAACGCAGCTTCTAATACTTATATCAACGGAAAATGCATATCACAATAATCCGTTGTTTGTTCTTCACGCTCACAGGCGCCAGTAATAACGCGAGAGAGAAAATGCGCGAGAATCGAACGACACATCATCGACGCTAAAGTACGTTTGGATTAACTGCGCAGAATATTTACTAGACCGTTACGAAATCAAGGAACGGTGAACATGTTTTTTCAAACGGGAATGCCGAGAGGACTCCTTTTTTATTCTATTCAAGCGATTTTTACATCGTGATATGTTGGGTCGTTCCGAATGGGGCGTGGTCGGTCCACTCTTCCATATGCGTGTGATTCGACAGCGAGAAAGATCACGCGTATCTTTCGTATAACGGGTTTCGATACTCCTCGTTTTCTCAATTGTTTCGAAAATTTTTTGATCGTATCGGGAGGCAAGGTTAAGTCGTGTGTAATACGGTATTGCTTCGTTTCGTCGAGATTCATTTTAAAAACAATTCGTCAAAAACTAATTTTTGGATTCATCTCGTACAAGTTGTAGTATCGCATCGTTTGGAAGATTTTACAAAATGGCAGCCGCGGTGGCGATGTTGTACTGTTTGCAAGTGACTCTCTGAACGAGTCATTTCTATTCCATATTTTGCGTGTTCATTCTTCGAAAATGTAATACCGACCAAGAGTACACGTTCTTCTAATTCGAATATTCACGGATCGTTTAATGTGTGATATATGTGGAGTGTTATTTCGAAATTTCGTCCCTTTTCTACAGTATCAAACGTAACCATTATGGGTGTAATTCTATCGACGGACGAAGTGGACAAAAAGAAATAAAACGAATCGAGTGAAAAGCGACAGACAGATCAATTCGCAATATCATTATCGGGCGTTATTCTGCATGACATTTTACAAAAGAGAAGCAATCGTGGTCTGTGCATCGTGCCTCTGAGACTTCCATCCCACCCAGTTCTTGTTCGACCTCCCCTCTTCTTTTCCTCTTCAACACATTCTCATGCGAGAAACGGATGCGCGCGCATGTACACGAATACAATCGCGCTGAAGTAGCACTGTGAAGTCTCTTTGGTGCGCACACATACCACGGCAAACGTCCTTTTCTTTGACACACATGAGTGAAAGCGGGTGAGAGGGGAGTGACGAGAGAAGAAGAAATAAGATAGAAGGCCAGAGGAGAAGGAGCAAGAGGAGGAGAAAGGGGGGAAGGGTGGAGAAGCAAGTGCCACGGTGGCTGGCTGGCTAGCGAGCCGCAAACCGTATCCATATTCTCCTCTAGAATCCCCGCTCGCGTTGTGCTTGTCGAGGAATTTTACTTCGGCAGACTCGCTCCCAGACTCGATTCCTTCGTTTCTTCTTTCCGTAGCCGCCAAAGTACAGCGAGAGTTCTATGTGAAAACATTAGCATGACTTTCCATAAATTTCAAGTCTCTAGGTCAGAATCATATTTTCTATCCATATCGATGTGTGGTACACGACTCTGTAAAACACCGATAAATCCGCTCGTATCTGACTCGTTTAACAATATTCGAACAAGTCTACGAATGGAATATAAACGTTCACCGTGCCCAGGGAGAAAAATAGTGATAATTCCGTAGAATGCCTGGAGTGTGTGACGTTCATCGGTTTACAAAGTTCCCAATCCTTCAGTGATCCGCTTCTAGGATTTCATTATATCGCTATTGGTTATCTAATAAGAACGATGATACACAATTTTTGGGGGGGGCCTGAAACAACAGTGAATTTCTCGGCATCGACGATTTCCTCGGTCGAGGGAAATATCGTTATTTGTGTTACGTTGCATCCCATGTACGATCGGAAAAAAAGTTCTCTTCTGAGAAACCGAATCTCAAGACTCCCTCATGGCATCTACTCGGATGATCGTTTGTCCTTCTATGTTTGAAATGAGAGATGTACAGGAAATCAATACATCGGCCCACGGTTAAGAGATCCTAGGTGCGTGTGTGTATGTGTGTGTGTGTGTGTGTGCACGCATGGGCAAGAGAAAGAGAGAAAAGAAAAAGGTAAAATTCCGATTCTACGAATCGATTAATCTTGAAAATCCTATAGTAAAATTTATGGATCAAATATTCATCACTAAAAACAAGGTGTGATCGTTCCATGTTCCGATTGTTAACAAATAATATACTTATTTTAAGTATAACGCCTATTTCATTGATAAACAATAAGTGTTTTCATGCGTATCCAGCAAGTTAACAAAGAACATGCGTTGTAGAAGAAAAGCAGGTCTACGGGTTGGAATTCTTTATATTTCGCCAGATCTCGGAATTCCAAGCGCCGTGAGTGTGTCGATCTAACAATACACGGAGGTTCTACGATTCCGTGAAGAATGGCAAGAATAAAAAGGAATACAATGCAGAACGGCCACTACAGGATAACAACAAAGAAAAGAAGGCTTTTGTTCCTCAACTTTTTCCCGTTCCCCTCTTACCCGCCGTGATTCTGCCTTGGGTCTAACACGGAATCGAATAAAAAATATTGCCTACTACTACGAGCAAGTTAGTACAGTCAGAAATATTTCTAAGGCATTGAAATCTCCTAATCGTTACAAAATAAATGAAAATTGTTCAAATTATTGCTTAGCCATTTCGAATTTATTCTATCTCAATTCTAATATAACGCTAGTTCCATATCAAATGTATTAAATGTACGAATAGTTACAATGCCAGAATAAATGAAACAACGTGGTTGAACATTGTGCATAACCTACGGAATCTTTCTTTATCTCCGTTTTTTTCTGATTCTGTTCGTTGACGACTATACTCAAGCGTCAAGTCTGCCACGTCTATTGAACGTACGTGTGGAAGGCACGGAAAGTCTTCCAACAGTACCATTCTAGGCAGACGACACTGACATAAGCCGCAAACGTCGCAAGCAGCAGCGTTGGGACGCATCAACGAGGCCGGCGAGGACGTGGCAACAGTGCTATGACTCAGCTCTCCTCGTTCCAACCGCTTCCCTTGCCCCCTGGCCCCGCTACAGCTG